CAAAGCTATAAGTCAGGAGACATCAAGACAAGGTGCAAGTAGATACAAAGTATAAAATATATATGTGAAAATGTGTTTGAAAAAAGATGTAAGGAAGGGAAATTAAATTAGGAAAATGGGGAGGGAGAATCAGTAAGGAAGTACATATGTTACCCATTAGAAATTGTTTTGTTTCAGGAGGAATAGATATATAGAAAATGAGGCAAGTAAAAAGGAACAAATAGTCCCATCTCATGAAAAATATAATATATCCAATGGGAAAAGAAAGATCAGAAGGTAACTATACTATACTCAAGATTTTTTAATATTTTTCCAAAGAAGATATACAAACAGGTACATGAAAAGATGATACTCAACATCATTAGTCATCAAAAACATTAAAGTTAAAATGATAATGAGATGCCACCTCATGCCTATGAGGACAGTCATCATCAAAAAGATAAGTGATAACAAGTGCTGGCGAGGTCATGGAGAAAAGGGAGCCCTGTGCACCATAAGTGGAATTGTACATTGGTATAGCCACTATGGAAAATGGTATGGAGATTCTGCAAAAATTTGAAAACTAGTTAAAAATATAATGCAGCAATTTTACTTCTGGGAATATATCCAAAGGAAATAGCCCTAGCCGATTTGGCTCAGCGGTTGGAGTGTTGGCCTGTGGACCAGAGTCCTGGGTTCAGTTCCTGCTAGGGGCACGTACCAAAAAAAAGGAAATAAAAACACCAACTTGAAAAGATATCGGTACCCATGTCCATAGCACTATTATTTACTATAGCCAAGACATGGAATAACCTAAGTATCCATTGATGGATAAATGGATAAAGAAATTGTGATATCTCTCTCTCTCTCTCTCTCTCTCTCTCTCTCTCTCTCTCTCTCTCTCTCTCTATATATATATATATATATATATATATATATAATTCAGCCATAGAAAACAAGAAAATCCTACTATTTGAGACAATACAGATGGACCTTGAAGGTATTATGCTAGGCAAAATAAGTCAGAGAGAGAAAGATAAATACTGTATAACCTCACTTATATGGGAAATCCAACCAACCAACCAACCAACCAACCAAACCATCAAATTCATTGAAAAAGAGATCGGATTGGTAGTTACCAGAGGTGAGGGGTTGTGGGAAGGGAGTATTGGAGGAAATCTGTCAAAAGGTACAAAATTCCATTTATAAGATATATAAGTACTAGGGATGTAATGTGGTGACTATATTTAACATTATCGTATGATATATGTATGACAAAGTTAAGAGAGTAGAGCCTAAGAGCGTTTATCAAAAGGAGAAAATTGTTTTCCTTTCTTGTTATTGTATCTATAGGAGATGATGGATGTGGTAATAGTTTAATGATATATATTAATCAAACTATCATACTGTACACCTATAACTATATAATGATGTCAACTATTTCTCAGTAAAACTGGAAAAATTGTTTTTAATCTTCCTTCAAAAAATTAAACCTAAAAATTTATTTTCAACAAACAGACATTTGCTACACTTACTGTGAAGCTAAGATAATTTTATATTTTGAAAGGCCAGGAAAAGGTGATATTTTAGTGTAATTATTATTTTTTTAAAGCAATATTGCACTGAAAGTTTCTGTTATATTGTGGAAAATTCAAATTCCTATGTGCCATCCCAAGTTTTTAAGCAACTGTAATTACAAAAGCAAATAAACAGAAAAGGGTGCACATCTGCTTTGTTTCTGGTAGTACTTAAGTTCTAAGCCCAACACTGAAAGACTGCTTTCTGGGCTACTGCCTCCTGATATTCATCTGTTCCATTTACTTTTCACACTAGCACATTCTTTGCCTTCTTTTATAGTCCAAGGTGATCAAATTTATAGAGCCTTGATTTCTTATACCAGCTTAAACTTGGATAGGCTTATTGTGGCACCTTTTGGCATACTATTTTAAGTACCTTGTCCTCATCACATGGACTGGGGAAGCAAACAACTCTAAATTTCAATCTTAGGTCTGTAACTTATAAATTATGGAACCTCTGGCAAGTAACTCATGCTGCGTCTCAGATTCCTTATACATTAAAATAAGGATAATGCCTATCTTTGAAATCAATTTTTAAAAGCTTAAATTTATTCAAACTTTAGTTCAGTGTAGATTTACCTACAGGTTGTGGGATTCTCAGTATAACCTCTGGGTATGATCTTCAAATATCACCCCCAATTCTGGGTGCCAGCAGAGATGCTTTTCTGCTTTTTAGCTTCCATGGCTCTTGTAGAACCTAACAGGTCTCTGACCACTCAGATAATAATATAGCTTTTACATGGACCTACAGGATCCTTATCAAATTTTTAGGTTTCCTGTACAGATTTTACAAATATCATTCTTGCCTTTTTCTTGGAAATCACTATATATTCCAATTCTGGATAGCTGACCTTTGTCCTCTGCTCTTGGCTTTCTAATTTGCCTGGAAAATATTTATCTAGGTAGATGATAAAGTCAGTCTTTTATAGCTATTGCCTGAGTTTTTTCTCATCAGTGACTGCTGGTTTCTACAAAGACCTGTTCTATTTCCCTGACACCATGCCCCGTTAGCTAAAAAACATTCTACAGCATGTTATAGAAAATAAATTAGAAGACAACCCTAGATTCTAATCTTAGTCCTCCAACTTGCCAAATATGTGACTTTCGCCAAATTATTTAAACTGTGGGAGACTGTTTTTCATTTGCAAAATAGGGAACATGCCCTGCCAACCTAAGAGGCTAAAGATCAAATGCAATAATGCAGGTGAATGTGCCTTGAAAACTGTAGTTCTATACAATGCAGAAGGTATTAACCACTAACAGAAGGTATATAGCATAGTGGTAAAGATAAAATAATCTGAAGTCTAACTGCCAGAGTTGGAATCTTGGCTCTATCATTTATCTTTTTTTTTTTTTTTTTATCCTCACCCGAGGACATTTTTCCTTTTTTTTTTTCGTACAGATAGAGTGGGAGGGAGAGAGAGGAAGAGAGGGAGAGGGAAACATCGATGTGAAAGGGACACATTGAGTGGCTGCCACCCGCACAACCAACCAGGGCCGGGGACAAACTGCAACCGAGGTACGTGCCCTTAGCGGGAACCGAACCCGGGTCTCTCCGGACCGCAGGCGGACGCTCTAACCGCTGAGCCAAACCGGCCAGGGCTATCATTTATCTTTTAATATGTAAAATAAGGTTTATAGTCCTTACCTCATTGATATTACCTCAATGGTATTAGCTATTATTGGTATTATTAAATGTCTACTATGTGTTAGGCATTCTACTAGGTGCTGATAATAGAGTCAAGACAGACATGGCTAACACTTTGCCTAACACCTCTATCTCCTACTCTGTATGTTACATTTTCTAAGTCATTTATGTCATGTATACTTTACAGCAAAGAAAAACCTGAGCAGTAAAGCATTTCCAGAGTGTCAAGATAAGACTCCACAATTCCACTATTTCTTTTCTGTGAACATTTCCAGTGAACATATAGTGACTCTAGTATTTATTTTCCTAATTCATTATTTGAGTTGAAACTCTCTTAGTGTCTTCTGGGTAAACTGAGATATATTTCCATCAAATATAAATAATCATTACAATAGTCACACCTACTAAACTGGGGGTTTGGTGATCTCAGTAAAATGAAACCACGTTCTTTAAAAACTCAGAGGACTAAAGACAGACCTCCCTGCTAGAACTCTCCATATCTACCACAAACCTTGGATAATCTCTCAAATGTATATCTTTTGTACTGGGATTTAAGTTGGTCCTGTAACCAATCTGAGCAAGGAGAAATATGGTCTTTTGATAAAGGCACACTGAAATAACCAATTAAAATGGAAAATTATACCTCTTGGTCTGATTGACAGTTATAGACCTCACTGAGACATGGAAGAGAATCAAGGAGCTCTGAATACCTAGTGGGTATAAACTTTCCAAATAACAGTAATTCAAAGCTAATGAACAAAATATTTCTCTACTCACCAAGCCACAGTAGCCTAAGATCTGCTCTGGTTCAGATAATAAAGTGCCCTAAAAGGCTTCAGTTCTTAATGTGGGAGCTAGTTTAGTACTGTAACGGGAAGAAATCGGGACCCTGCGGTGGAAAAAGGCACCCAATAAGCCCATACGAAGCATCCTAAACAAAGTCTGGAGCAGCAAAGAGGGGCGGGGCTTCGATTTCTCCTGCATCACTGCGCCCTCTCTCCTCCGCCTGCGTGAGCACCGCCCACCCACTCACAGCGTGAACTCACTGGGCCTAGCCTCTCCTTCCCCCTCCCCTCCGCCTGGTGCTGAATCATGAGCCCAGTATCTCCAAAAGGTAAAATCAAGAAACAATGCCACCCTGAATTGGGTACAGGTTGGGGTGGGGCAGAAGGCAGAAACCACGACTTTGCTTCCCTTCTCTCCAAATTCCCCACCCAACCCCCAAATTAAAACCAGTACTGCGGTACTGGGGCACTCCCAAGCGGGCGTCTCTTCTCCTGGGTCGCTCTGGTCTGAACGCTCTCCTCTGGCCCCGAGCTTCCCTTCATTGTTCCAGCACTGCCGCCCTGAGAACCCGAGCCCCTGCCCGGCAGGAGAGCTGGAAGCTTCCTGAAAGTAGAGGGTTGAGGATCCCCCATCCTTTGCTCCTCTCCACCGAGTAACAACAGCCCCTGCCCACCCTCATTGCCTTCCTGCCAACCTATCGTTAAAGCGGAACCAGCCAGTCCTCCTGGGAGGCGAGCGGTGGGTGCTGTCCAAATGCTGGGAAGAGGTAGATTAGTGGGGCGGGGGAGAAGCCAGAGGCTCCGGCCTGCGCGAAGCTGCAGCCCTCACCCACAGCGCGATTCGGTTACGTGGGAACCGCTCTACCTCTGGCCCATGGAGCAAGCATCTGGGCCGTGGCCGTCTCCCAGCCCTGGATGCTGGCGCCGAGCAGTCCTTGGCCCTCATCTCCAGAAGCAGAAGGTAGAGGGCCAGTCCTGTGCAGGCTGCAGAAGTCACCACACACTACTCACCCCAACTGTTTCTGTCCTTGTGGCTCTTGGCCATGGTGGTCCAGGGACTGGTGGCAGTGAGGCGCTGTCACCGCGCTCCCTCTTCTCCCGGCCTGCAGGTTGCTGGCAGTGGGAGGCTCTGTGCCCGCGTTGGGCGCAGTTCGCTCAGACTCTGAGGATGTTGCTGTGGCGCTGGTGGGAAGGAGTGGGGAGGAGAAAACGGGTGAACCAAGCTCAGCATCACAAGCCGGAGTTCACACAAATACCAGCGTCACACCCTCCTCACCTCAGCCCAACCCCAAAGCATGAAGACAGTGACAGATGATGTACTGCAATATTTTCTATGGAAAACACACACACAAATAAACAGTATCTCCTCACACACTCTCCAAAGAATTTAGCAGCATTATCTAGTCACAGAAACACACAAACCAATAAACTGCATTATGCTGGATGTTCAAATATCTGTTTCCTAGTACAGTTACACATTAGTACAAACATGCTGGCAACATTTAAATAGTTTAAAAAGTTAAAATATCCACATTATCTACCAGGCACCACTTCTCCCCATTTCAAAAGCAAGATCATGTTAGTAAAGACGGTATTGTGCATTTTGTACCTGTCTACCAAAGAGGCCTGTCTTTTTCCATTAGGAAAGCAAAATTAGACTAAGAAGATCAAGATAAATGAAAGCTGAAGATTCATCATAATCTGCAACTAAATGTCTCATGGGCAAAATTTCCCAGTAGATTTGTAAGATGGAAGTCTGGATTTATATTGGGAAATATTTGAAGTAGTCATACTACATAGTCTGGGTGAACCTTGGCAGTCATAAAGGTTGCAAACAATTTTAAAGGGAAAACAAAAGGCAATAAATACTTAAAAAACATTTTTAATCTCTCCTTTTTCACTTTCTTCCTTTCTGCCTACAAATTTAGTTTTCAGTATCCTAGAAACACTGTGTCTTCATGTTACTTGCCCTTCAAGATACCATCATTCCATTCCTCACAGTTTTCTCCTGCATTTGGTTGTTGGCCACACTCTACACATCAGTTTTGCCTAAGAGATTGCAGCTAGCCTCTTAATTACCAGGTCCTTCGTTTCTGCTTATTCCTCAGTATCAGCAACTCCTTACTCTATGTTCTCTGAATATAATTTACTATGATGTCTTCATATAAGACCTCCATGCTGATGATTCTCAAACCAATACTGAAAGTCTTAAACTCTTGAGAGAGAATCATAACAGAGCTGCAGTTATAATTGCCTGAGCTCATCTTTACTTTTTCTACTGACACTTCAATATCAACATGTCAAAAAACAAACTCTCTTACTACTACTAAATTTTATGTATTCTGTATTTCAGTTAATGGTTCTAGTGACCACAGAACTGTGAATACTATAAACAAACTTTATATTATAGTTTTAAGGGGGACTGTATTAATCAGAATTGCATTCCCCAAGCACTAACGAAACAACATAGAAAGACAAATTATCTCACTGCTGAACCTACAAACCAAATTTATAGTACAAAAAGAAATGTGTTCTGTACTTTTTTTTTTTTTTTTTGGCTATAATTCCCAGCTCCCATTCCAGACTGATAATCCCTTTCAGGTGAATTCCATTAAAAAAAGAGTACAGTAGAATTCCACAAAAACAATTGTTCTATAGTTTAATATCTATTCCTAACTGAAAAAGAAATTTATTTAAAAAATTTTTTTCCATTGTAATTAATAAGTAATCTGGCCCAGCCAATGTGGCTCAGTGGTTGAGCGTGGACTCATGCACCAAGAGGTCACCAGTTTGATTCCTGGTCAGGGCACATGCCCAGATTGTGGGCCCAATCTCCAGTGTGGGGCATGCAGGAGGCGGCCAAATGATGTTCTCTTTCATCGATGTTTCCATTCTCCCTCTCCCTTCCTCTGTCTCTAAAATCAATAAAGAAAAAAAAAGTAATCTGTGGGATAGTGTTTGGCGACTGTGTGAATATCTTTTGGGGGGGGGTAAAATTTTTTTAAATTGGAAAACAAATATACAACTTGGAATGGATTTGAGGCAAACTGTGCCATAAGCAGATTTTCAAGTGGCTAAACTAAGTTTAAAAATCAAGAAACAATAAAAGAAAATGTTTCTGGTACAGGACCAGCAGTACAAAAAAATAGTGTACAAGTACCTGGATAATACACCCGTTTTGCATTAGTGCAACTTTTAAGTATATATTGTTGACTGTCCATAGTCCACGCAGTTACAACTCCACAATTCAACAACATTTTATATTTAGTAGCAGGCATTCTCTCTTCCACCTTTGTTTGTTACATACTATTATGGATTCATGAACTCTATGACAAAAATTTCTTTGGCTCGTGTTGTTATGTATCACTATCATTATTCTTTCGGATACTCAAATTGCCCTAAATTTGGCCAATAGGAGCCTCTTTAATTCAACCCTGTATCCTTTATCATATTCTTTGATCACTACTTTGTTTTCTAGCACAAGAAAATGTTTCAAGTTTCACTGCCTCAGAACTATAATTAGCTCTGGCTCCTTTTTTGTTGTTGTTGTTCTTTATTTTTATTGTTGACACTATTACAGATATCCCCATTTTCCCCTCCTTTGCTTGCCTTTACCCAGCTCCCACCCCCCTTCCCTCTGGCCACACTGTTGTCTGTGTCTATGGTTATGCACATATGTTCTTTGGCTAACCCCTTCACCTTCTTTCATCCAGTGCCCTCTCACCTCCCCTCTGACAGCTGTCAGTCTGTTCCATTTATCTGTTTCTAATTTGTTCATCAGTTTATTTTGCCCATAGATTCCACATATAAGTGAGATCATGTGGTATTTGTCTTTCTCTGATTGACTTATTTCACTCAGCATAATAACTTTGGGTCCATCCATGCTGTCACAAAAGGTAAGATTTCGTTCTTTTTTATGGCTGAGTAGTATTCCATTGTGTAAATGTACCACAGCCTTTTTATCCACTTATCTACTGATGGGCATTTAGGCTGTTCCTAGAATTGAGATTGCTGGGTCAAAAGGCAGTTCCATTTTTAATTTTCTGAGGAAATTCCATATTGTTTTCCACAGTGACTCCATCAATCTGCACTTCCACCAACAGTGCACGAGGGTTCTCTTTTCTCTATATACCCCCCAGCACTTGTTGTTTGTTGATTTTTTCTATTGTAGCCATTCTGGCAAGTGTAAGGTGGTATCTCATTGTGGTTTTACTTTGCATCTCCCTGATGATTAGTGATGTTGAGCATTTTTCCATGTCTATTGGCCACATGTATGTCCTCTTTTGAGAACTGTCTACTCAGGTCCTTTGCCCCCCCTTTTTTTTTAATCCTCACCCGAGAATATTTTTCTATTTATCTTCAGACAGAGTGGGAGAGAGGGAGGGAGAGAGAGAGAAACATTGACGTGAGAGGGACACATCAACTGGTTGCCTCCTGCACGACCCTGACCAGGGCTGGGGACAAATCACAACTGAGGTACATGCCCTTGACCAGAATCAAACCTGCAACTCATTGGTCCATGGGCCCATTTAATTGGATTATTTGTCTTCCTGGTGTTGAGTTGTATAAGTTCTTCATATACTTTGGAGATTAACTTCTTATCCAATGTATCACAGGCAAATATGTTCTTCCATGCAATGGGTTTCCTTTTCATTTTTTTGATGGTTTCTTGTGCTGTGCAGCAATTTGATGTAGTCCCATTTGTTTATTTTTTCCTTTAGTATTTCCCTTGCCCTAGGAGACATATTGGCAAAAATACTGCTGATCTTTACAAGAGATGTCTGATATTTTACTACCTGTTTTCTTCTAGGATTTTTATGGTTTCACAACTTAGTAAGCCTTTTATTCATTTTGAGATGAACCTTGTGTATGGTATAAGTTGGTGGTCTAGTTTCATTTTTGTACATGTCTCTGTCCAATTTCCAGCACCATTTACTGAAGAGACTGTCTTTACCCCATTGTATGCTCTTGCCTCCTTTGTCAAATATTAATTGACCATAAAGGCATGGGTTGCTTTCTGGGCTCTTTGATCTCTTCCACTGATCTATATTCCTGTTCTTATGCCAGTGCCAGACTGTTTTGACTACAATGGCCTTGTAGTATAGTTTGATATCAAGTATTGTGACCCCCTCCAACTTTGTACTTTCTCAAGATTGCTGCAGCTATTCAGGATCTTTTTTGGTTCCATATACATTTTTGGAATGTTTTTTCTAGATCTGTGAAATATACCATTGGTATATTAATAGGAATTGACATTGGATCTATAGATTGCTTTGGGTAGTATGGACATCTTAATTATCTTAATTCTTTCGATTCATGAACACGGTATATGCTTTCACTAATTTGTATCTTCCTCAATGTCTTTCTTCAATGTCCTATAGTTTTCTGAGTACAGGTCTTTTACTTCCTTGGCTAAATTTATTACTAAGTACTTTATTTTGTTGTTGTTGTTATAATAGTAAATGGGATTGTTTTCTTGGTTTCTCTTTCTGAAAGTTCATTATTGGGGTATGGAAATGCCACTGATTTCTGAATATTAACTTTGTATCCTGCTATTTTGCTGAATACAGTTATTAGAGCTAGTGCCTTTTTGGTGGAGTCTTTAGAATGTTCTGTGTACAATATCATGTCATCTGTGAATAATGACAGTTTTACTTCCTCCCTTCCAATTTGGATACCTTTTATTTCTTCTTCTTTTCTGATTGCTGTAAGTAGTACTTCTAGTACTATGTCGAATAAGAGTGGTGAAAGCACACATCTTGTCTTGTTTTTGCCCATTAAGTATGATGTTGGGTTTGTCATATATGGCCTTTATTATGTTGAGGTATGTTCCCTCTATTCCCACTTTGCTGAGAGATTTTATCATAAATGGGTGCTGAATTTTACCAAATGCTTTTCCTGCATCTATTGATATAACATATGGTTTTTATCCTTCATCCTGTTTATGTGGTTTATCACATTTATTGATTTGTGGACTTGTACCAACTTTGAATCCCCAGAATAAATCCTACTTTATAATGGTGTATGATCTTTTTAATGTATTGCTGGATTCAGTTTGCTAATATTTTGTTGAGAATTTTAGCATCTTTGTTCATCAGGGATATTGGCCTATAATTTTTTTCTTCATAGTGTCTTTATCTGGTTTTGAAATTACAATATGGCTGGCCTTATAAAATGAGCTT